GATCATGTATGGCGTAAGCGGGGTTGCATAATCTGTAATTATCACTGTATTAATTAAAAGTCTAATTCATGTAATTAGTGACGCAATTATTAATTAGTAATATATATGGCCGTGATCCTTTAAGGGAATCGACCTGACAAGTTTGAATTTGCAATTAGGTATTCTAAAATAACCTTTAGTTAAGAAACTGTATACTGCATTGTCTTCGCTTTGGTGGTTAGTACCTGAACGATACACCAGTGTAGGGGAAAGCCAAGCGTGAAAAGACCCGTAAATCTGAGTAAAACCTATAGGTAGTTGAATAACTTACGCGACAGTATCTCACTTTGTGCCATCTTGATATCATTACCATATTGCCGTATTGGCACGAATAACGCCTATGGGCGTTATTTTGAGACACAATTTAAAGAGTAATAATTAAGTTAAGAGATACACAACTTAAAGAGTAACAATTAATTTAACAGAATGCAAATTATATTTCTTTTAAAAGATCTTTGACGAAATCTCAAGAGTGTTATTTCCAAGTTTAAACATAAGATTACGACAGAGCCATATCTAAATGTGCTAGAAAAAAATGGAAATTATGATCAAAAAAAATACTAGGAAAGATCCGCTTACACTTTAAAAGGTTACGATAGATACAAGTATATTGAAGTATCAATATTACATGATATAGTAGAATCTGGCCATAAATAGTGTATGATGTAATTGTATTCTCGTTGCCGTCGTGCAAGCGGTTCTTAGCCAAGTTTATTTAGAAGTGTTAGTACTTGTGGTAATCTTGGTATTGTAATAATATAAAATAGCTATTCTCGAAATAACGGCATGGGCGTTATTTTGAAAATCATTGCCCCTAAAAATCGTATAGTTGACTTTGAAATAACGCCCAGCGTGTCCCGAAATAACGTGCATTTCATTCAATTCTGTTCGTGTATTTTTAACTTTCATAATAAAATAATTGCACATGACAACCGCGAAGAATCTTCACGGTTATTACGCGCAGACAATTTTTATTAGATCAGTCAATAGTGAAGATGACTGATTGCAGAACCTTTACCTATTATGTTAATCGTGAAATGTCTTATTTCAAAATAACTTCCCTGACGTACTCGAAACAACGCGCGGATGCTCTTTATTTCGAGAATTTATAAGGTATCATTCCTTAAACTGTAAAGCTAGACAAAATTCGCTTGCTTTATAAATTTATGTCGTTTACAAGCCAGAAATATATACTGTAACGATAATTTAAAAAAAATTTTTTTTAGCTAAAAATAATTTAAACTTTTTAAATATAAGTTAGTTTTAAACATATAATTAATACGATACAAAGAACATTAACTTTTATTATTACAACTGTTGTGTAAAAATCAAAACTTGTACTAAGAATGAAATTTTAAACTTCAAAAATTCTCCCTAATAAAGTTATATTAAAATATATTCTTTATATAAAAAGTTGCTTACATTGCTTACATTATAATTTAAGTAATAATTTCTTTATTAATTCCTAAGGCGTTAAAGCTCTACTTAATACCTAACTCACTTGGAAGTTGATTGACTAGGATTGACTGTCGAACAAACAATGATAAAATGCTGCATGTAAATGATATGCAATGGGTTTAACTCTAATAATAACTGCACACCCAATACTCTTGAAGTCTTTCTTGTTTTAAATCTTATATTCACTATATAATGTCGCGGGATATTTCTCTGGTTATAACTGGTTCTCGTATTCTTACTTCTGACTCAATTAATCCTTTGCCCGCTACGATCGAAATCGATAAACATGGACATATCAGTGCTATTGTCAACAAAAAATCATCTTTTGATTCTTATGCTTTTCTAGAAAATGATAAATTCATCGATGCTGGTGACAATCTTGTTATGCCTGGAATTGTTGATACTCATGTTCACTTGAATGAACCTGGCAGAACTGATTGGGAAGGTTTTGAAAGTGGAACTAAAGCTGCCGTTGCTGGTACTTTTTGTTTGTGATTTTAATCAAATATATACTTTGGTTCAATTCTGTTTTATTTACTATTCAAAATATCAGGTGGAGTAACCACTGTTATTGACATGCCATTAAATTCAATTCCTCC